AGGGGGGTCCTTGGGTCATTGATGTTTGGTTGATCAGGCCGGAGGTGCATCATGTGTTGTGCTCGATTGCGGCTCTTCGTCGTTATCTGCCCACCTTGGCCTCGGTGGCCAGGGATGCGCTTTGGGTTGATCCAGTTTCCCTCATTCCCTGTTCCAGGGCTTGGGTCTCTCAGGTCGTTCTCAAGGTTATTAAGGCTAGCCAGCCTGCAGTCTATCCTCGTGCCAATGATGTTCATAAGTTTGCTGCTTTGGCTGCTGTCTTCGGCAGCTGTCTTCGGCAGCATATCTTGGGCTGACATTCAGGTGCGGAGATTTTGGATATCAAACAGGGTCTTGGCGGCTCGTTATTTGGTAAAAAATTCCTGGTCCTGGGCATTAGTGTGTGGCTTTGGGTTGCAGGTTGCAGCCAGTTGTCCCGACTTTGAGTTGAGGAGCACGTGGGGGGCCGCTTCCTGGGTAAGTCCCTCTTTTACTTATCTTGGGTTATGTAGCTCCAGGGAGCCAAAGGGGCTCTCCTCAGAAAACCAGCATTGAATGTAATGAAACACCATTTTCTGGGTGAGCCCTGGAGGCTCCCTTGCACCCTCCCTCTCTCCGGTCAGCGGGTTTGTTTTGATTTTGATGCTTAGTCTCCGTACTGGGTAGCTGGCACAGCGGGTCTTGGGTTTCCTCCTCCACCTTCCCAGGAGGGGATGGTTGCACGGACAAGCAGCGCGGTGGTGGTGTGTAACCTTTGCTTGTTTGCTTGAGAATTGGGGAAGTTCTGCCTCCTTGTTCGGTCTTCGGTTGCAGTTTTCTTGCCAAATAGGGCGTGTTTTATTATGCCACCCTTTCTGGATGCCTAACTCTAGTCGATGACAGATAAGGAATATTCCCAACCACAGGAGGGGGGGGTGTTTCCAGAGGCCATTGCTCCTTGTGCATCTCTGAGAGGGACAGGTTCTGGCTCATGGTCCCCCAGTAGGCTGAATTACATTAACTAATGGCTTAGACTAATATATATCACATATTAGCCCAATAGCTCCAGGGAGTCTTCAGGGCTCACCCAGAAAATGGTGTTTCATTTCAAATGGTGTTTTCATTTCAACGCTGTTTTTTTATGGATATCAGGGAAAGTATGACTCTCTAGAGATTTGTTGAATACCAGAGCTATGGGTGGTCAAGGGCATGAATGGCACTTTTGTATATCATAGATGGTATTTCACTAATGTTCCCAGCTTTGGTTTTTAGTGAGTGAATGATGGACATAAACATCTGTCGGGCTGACTGGTGAAAGGAGAAGAGAATTAGGATATTACACACAGAAATCACAATTGCGTGATGCCTCAAATGAACAAATCCACAAGGGCCGTGACGAGGATTCGAACCTGCATCTGAGAGCATCCCAGACGCTGCTTTAATCGACTGAGCTGCGACATGGTTATCTTGAGGTTATCTTGAGATGATTTCGGGGCTTTAGTGTCCCTGCGGGGCTGTCCTGCGTCAAGGCGTGCGCCTCGCTCAACCCATCAACTGCCCTGATGAACTGTTCAAGGCAATGACATTTTGTTGGACGACGGCTCCAAGAGAACGACCTACTGTTGAAGAGCTTGTCATCTACCTCACCACCTTCCAGCAGCATCTTGACAGATACGTGTGACATTATGTGACCTCGGGACAATGCGTGTGACCTTAACCTGTCCTCTTGGGACTTTGTGACCCTCAGGTTAATCACAGCAGACTGTTGAAGAGAGTACCTCTTGAATCAACAGTGAAGGCTTCATTGCCCTCCCAGTGCCAGCAGAGGACATTCTCTCTTTCATGTATCTGGGAAGACTTTGTGATTTCTTCAAAAGCACTTATTACATGACTTGACAAAATGGCCTGTAAATGAGAATTCTTTATGTTGGGAAAAACTAAAATACTCAAATTATTGGCCTGCTTTAATTTACTAGGCAAAAGTCACAAACTCTTTGACTCATTGGACAGAGCAGGTGGCAGCTTTGTCAAGAATCTGGAAATGACCTCAGACTGATGCAGTGAAAGGGTTTCACTGAAAAAAATATTGATAAAAAATTTCATATATGAAGATGGAAGCAAGCAAACTGTAGTGTTGGTCGTGGTGCAATAGATACAAGTAGACATGAATGATTATAATATTTACACTACACAAGAAAGAAGTAGGAGTCTATAGTGAGAGGAAAGACATGTTGACACTATAAATGTGCACAAATTTCTGGAAGTTTCTGGAACTAAGTGGATTGCAAATTGATGTTTTGCACCTGGACCATCGGTAATAATAAGCAAGTCGGTTACGAGTTTTTGCATATGAATTTTTGTATTGTATGACTTAGTGTAGTTGATTGTAATAATTGCCTTGATAAAGTTGTTCCCCAAACTGTTCAATTTGATGGGTTTTCAGACGAAGTGGGAATTTCTTTAGAACATTCCTTACTGAAGCGTAACCAGTGTTGAAAGATGATACTTTTTAAGAGTTCACCGAACAGTAATTTAGATATTCATAAACTGTTCAAATACTTTTATATTAAGAAATTGATAAGTGTGAAAGGTGTTTAGGCTGCAGGGAAGGCAGCTAGCCAGTGAGCACCCAAGTGGAAAATTTTCTTAAGGATGTGTGGGCAGGGGAGTAGTGTCGGGGTATGAGAGTAGTGTCTGGGCAGGAGAGTACTATATATATCACGGGCTCACCGTAGCCCGTGCTACTTGGAACTTTTTGTTCTAGGTAGCGAATCTTTAACAACAACAGGAGAGTACTGTAGTGTGTGTAGCAGTCTATGGATCAGAAGCCTACAGAAAATACAAAACTGGCCATTGATGAACAAGGTGGATTTCTTGACAGAAGAACTTGCATTGTTTGGATTCTCCATTTGCATTAAGAGTGGAAAAGGCGTGTAATACACTCTTAAGTATACATGTACATCAGAGATGTGTTCAGTAATGCTGGTAGTGTGAGCTTGTATGATAATGATACAGAAAGTATAATATATCAAATTTGCTGTATGCTGGCAATGCCGTTCTAGTAGAGAATGACGGTCCTGTATATCCTGTAGAATAGTCACAGGTTTTATTGTGTATGGGAGAAAACTGGTGAATGTTGATGGAAGCACAGTGGAGTAATGGCAGAGCTTGTACGAAACTGTGTGATATCTAGGTGATGGTATTCATAAACCGGGGGGAGCCGGTCGGCCGAGCGGACAGCACGCGGGACTTGTGATCCTGTGGTCCCGGGTTCGATCCCAGGCGCCGGCGAGAAACAATGGGCAGAGTTTCTTTCACCCTATGCCCCTGTTACCTAGCAGTAAAATAGGTACCTGGGTGTTAGTCAGCTGTCACGGGCTGCTTCTTGGGGGTGGAGGCCTGGTCGAGGACTGGGCCGCAGGGACACTAAAAAGCCCCGAAATCATCTTAAGATAACTTAAGATAACCTCCCTGTGGCCCAGTCCTCGACCAGGCCTCCACCCCCAGGAAGCAGCCCGTGACAGCTGACTAACACCCAGGTACCTATTTTACTGCTAGGTAACAGGGGCATAGGGTGAAAGAAACTTTGCCCATTGTTTCTTGCCGGCGCCTGGGATCGAACCCAGGACCACAGGATCACAAGCCCAGTGTGCTGTCCGCTCGGCCGACCGGCTCCCTGGTCAAAAGAGTTGAAACCGAAGTTCTACTGAACTTAATGGATCCTGCAGCCTCTCCGAGGCACAAACCAGGGTTTTACACAACTCCCCATGCACTCGAGCTATGAAGTAAGGGCGAAGAGGGAAAACGGCCTATTGACATAGCTCGAGTGCATGGGAGAGTTGTGTAAAACCCTGGTGTGTGCCTCGGAGAGGCTGCAGGATCCATTAAGTTCAGTAGAACTTCGGTTTCAACTCTTTTTGACCATGTCATAGCTCAGTCGATTAATGCAGCGTCTGGGATGCTCTCGGACGCAGGTTCGAATCCTCGTCACGGCCCTTGTGGATTTGTTCAAGAGTTAGGATAGTTGCCGGCAAGATATGTAGTGACATGTGTCTGGGTCTGTGGGATTTTTCTGGCAAGGTTAGCACCATCTGTTGAAAAGAAGCTATTAAATTCAGTTGCCAGACTCCACAGACATCCCAACCCACTCCAGACATCCACATCCACTACTGACATCCATCCACCTTCCCCTGCTAACATCCACACCCAAAACACTCACACCCCCTACTGATATCCACACCCCATACTGACATCCACACCCCTTACTGACACCCCCCCTCCCTACTGACACCCCCCCCACAAACCACTACTGACATCCACACCCACTCCAGACACCTACACCCATTACTGACATCCACACCCACTGCTGACACCCACACCCTCTCCTGACACCCATGTCATACAACTGTCCCTCCCTCACTGCCTTTATCTCTCCCTCACATCATATTTTCCCCTCACTGCTCCAATCTCACCCTCACTACCTCCCTGCTTCTATCTTCACCTCACTAACTCGACCTCTACCTCACTCCTGCTACCCATCCCTCACCCAGGTGGTTATCGAGAGTGGTGGGGATGGCAATGTTTGTTTACAGTTGGTGATCCCCTTCGTGACCAAGCCACACACGAGGTGTTTAAAGTTTCAAATGGCAACAAAAGAGGATTCAATGAAAATACTGTATACAGTATGCCTTTTCTGAAGTTTATAAAGATTCATTGCTGTACAGATGAATAGAATAACAATGAATTATTCTTGTTATATATTATTAACAAAATGCATTACATAAATGACTCCCATAGGCATCACCGGTTGCAATGAATCCCTCACTCCAATGAATCAGTGTTGGTCCCAAATAGTTCACCGAATCAAGAGAGCACTTTATTTGTATCTCAGTCTAATTGCTGTGTTCTAAAATGGAAGATTGCTAGCACTTACTCTTTATAAGATTAGTGTATAATAATTTTATTCTTTAGTAACGTGCTTTCAGCCTACATTTAATTTTGATTTCCATTTTATCTTATCACTTTACAATTGTATTTTACAGAGGCACTGGGAAAAACTAAAACAGTCAGAATGGAACAAAATGGAGGGAAAAGCTACAAAGAAAGGAAAGATGCGAAGGAAGAGTGGTAATTCAGTGCACAGTAGTAGTAGTAGTAGTGATCTTGTAACACTAAAGTCTGCAGAAACTTCAGCAAATTGCCCATATTCAGACTCTGGATCTTGTGGGAAATACATTGCCATCACAAGATTCATAACTGATGATGCTAATCTAGTACAGATTGTCCAAGCTGTTGATGATGAAGTTCATGCAGAAAAAGTGTCAACACAGAGTGCCATGTTAGATGTTAATAAGGATGGTGATGGTCAATTTATGCAAATAATTCAAGATTCAACTGTTCAAGAGCATATACAAACTGATCTTGAACTGGGTGAAAACTTAGAAAAGATGAACCTCTTTACAAATTCTCCAAATCAAGATGACTCTGCATGTGGTAATACTTTTATTCCTGATGTAAAAGTGCCTCATCTAGGGCTTGTTGGGCTACACACTTGTGGCAACTTGGCGTCAAGCAGCCTACGATTATTTGTGTCAAATTCTGAGGTTCATTTTCTCTGTAATGTTGGTTGCTGTTACCATCTAATTGAAGAAGAATTTTCTAAAAATGTTTTTAACCACAAAAAAATAGAGAGTGTGGACTCGACTTTCAAAACATTAATTGAAAAAGATTCTGAAGATCTTCCTAATGATATAGAATCTAGTTTGTTAAATGGACAGTGTGAATATGATTGCAAATTATTAAGAGAGCCATATTTTAAGGTCTTCAAACCTCTGAACCACATCCAAGATAACACTTTTGGATCTACAAGTCTAAATGAAGAAACTGTTTCTTGTGATCCACTTCATCCTTCAGAGATTCCAAACTTGAGCAATGGATTCCCACTTAGTTCCACTCTCAAAAATGTTAGATTTGCTATTGGAAGAAACAGCAGAATGTTGTCCTGCCAGCCAGCAGACCGCTTGACTCAAGGAAACTTTGTAAGTTATCAAGTGATTAAGTACATTATTTTATGCCAAATAATATATTTGTGTTTTACCTGCTTTATCATTTTTGCATATATTGTCTGTACAATTGTGAGAATAGTGATTTTATCATGTAATATCAAACTCGTACCATAATAATCAATAGTTGAGTGTAATTGAGAGCCATTCCGTGGCTTCTCAAGCGATACCACTGGAACTGCCAAGCCTTATGGAATCACACTGGGCTTCTGAGACCCACCCATGTTTTGTGTCACCTGTCCTGCATGTGCCTTGTATTACGTTTCCCTCCGATTGTGTGCTTAGAGTTATCTTTCCTGGTAGCTGGCATGCATCTCCCTTGGCCTACCCTATCTTCCCCAGCCTTGGTGTTCGTTGGTGCTGCCATCTGGTTGTGGCCAGTGTATTTGGTGATGGGTTATTTGTTTAACCCTTGAACTGCACAACACATCAATAGCTGTGGTGAATAACTGTCATGGAATTGTGCACCACAGCTATTGATGTGTTGGAGTACAGCACAAGATTTAAAAGTCAAGTAGCTACATGGGGTTCACATCATCTTCCTCAAGACTATTGTAAACAGACGCCATTTAAAAAAGAAAATCGTGGGCAACATTCCCGGGTGTGAGAGCCTCAGTACTGAGTGAGCCACCAAGGCACATGCAGCATGAGCTATCAGCATTGCTGTTCAGCTTGTGACCACAGCATCTCCTAAAAATTTAAAAAATATACAGTGGTACCTCGAATAACGAATTTAATCCGTTCCGGCGCTGTGTTCGTCATGTGAAATGAATGTCATACAAAACGAATGTCCCCATTTAACCACTGTGATGCGCTGTGTTTATTGTGAAATTCCCCCAGTGTGCATGACATCAAGTGTTCCCAAAAAAAACATTTTTCTTTGTAAAATGATAAATTCCCTTCCCTGAACATGTCTATGTAAAAATAATTACTAAATTCCACTTACTTTGGCTGTGGGGACGTGGACAAGGTGCACTGTGACGTCATCAGGGGCTGGTCGCCCATGTGTGAAGCTCCCAGACACGGTCACGCAGGCCATTCATGCACTGCGTGTTGCCACAAGTATATTTTCAAATATTTGTTCTATGTATTTCCAGTGCAGTTTTTTTGTTTCTTTTATTGTATATGATGCATATTTGTGACCTTTACAATATGTATACACTAGAATGTTCATAATGTTCTATGGAACTGTGATACATGTGTCAGTAATGTGTCCACAGTAAATGTTTATTGGCACAATATTACGTGGTAAAAATTCACTAAAATTTCAATATGTACAGTTTCATATACTATTTACACAGTAACACACTGTATTACACACACGGTAGTTTGGAGGTGCGTAATAATCAATAAAGTAGTCCATGGTAGACAGCATGACTTTGCTCTTGTTGCATCAGCTACAGATAGATTTTCGCTTCCTGTTTTATCGTTCTGTGTGCTTGCAAATAACGCACTCGCGTGCACCCTTGGCTTTAGTACTTGTAGGTGGTATGTAGCCAAGCTTGTAAAGCATAAGGTAGTATTGAAACGATTATAGGAAAAGCTCAAATTGTAAGGTAGTCTTGAAAAGATCACTTTGTAAGGTCCAACACAGGAAGAGATTCAGCTAGCCTCAAAGAGTGTCCATCAGTCAGGAAGAGACTCAGGTATTCTTGAAAATATCTATGGCGAACACCACAATGGAAGCCGCTAACACTGTTCATCTATGCTACTTGTATGAGATGCATCATCACTGAATGCAGAAAACAATTCATCTATGTAAATTGGAGATGGCAAGGGTGGGGCTCAGAGCTACAACTGGATATGCTCGCTGTATCATCCTCATAGGTGCTGTATCACTTGCATCCAACCGGTGTGTTAAGTCCTTATTGCGCTTAGCTTCACCAATATTATGACCCTTATTTTCTTAAACAATAAGGTCTGAATTTCACCAACTGAGCGCAATCTTTCAACACCGCATCGGACAGGTGTTTGGGAGCCAGAGGCATGTGTGCCACAAATGGTTGCTCACACAGTATTAACCCAGCCCTAGACCTAGTCCTAGGACTAGGACAAGCCCTAGTCTTTCATATTTGTTATAGCAAAAGGTTTGTTCAGTGTTTGTCGGGTAGGCTGCTCCATTATGACAATCTTTCTTTGTTTCATATGTGTTCCATTTGTTTTGTATTTGTCATTTACGTCTCGATAATGAAGCAGCCTACCCGACAAACACTGAACGAACCTTTATGACATTTGTCCACTTTTAAATTGTTTCAACTTTTATTTTTTTTTTTTTTATTTAAGAAACATGGAGCAGCCTACCTGTAGACCACCGAATGAACCTTTTTGACATTTGCTCTGGTTTTCAAAATAATTCATTTTTTTTATTATTTACGTTTTTTTATGTAAGAAACATGGATAAGCCTACCTGCCGACCACCGAACGAACCTTTTGCTATTAGACAAATGAAAAATAAGTATTGAACACATTTGAAGAAAGGAAAATGTCATAAAGGTTTGTTCAGTGTATGTAAGGTAGGCTGCTCCATTATTGAGACATAAATGACAAATACAAAACAAATGGAACACATTTGAAACAAAGAAAGATTGTTATAATGGAGCGGCCTACCTCCCAAACACCGAACGAACCTTTTTGACATTTGTTGTATTTCAGAAATTTCATTTCTTTTTTCCTCCAAAAACGTCAATGCTTTGCAACATCTCAGCAGTCACCCCTTTATATCCCAGCATCATTAGCATCTTTAAACAAGAACAACATAATTTATGTGCATCGTCGGAGGCGTCTGAGAATGTGCAAGAAGCAGCGCGACCCCACCATGTGGTGTTGACGTTACTCAAACGAGCGTTCACCATATGGGATGCTTTGTCGCCGATCGAGCCGTTCATTACTTAAAATGTAAGCCTTTTGGGGCGATCGTTATGCGAGGTACCACTGTATATGTAACTGGTATTATTTAGCGATGATAATATTACAGAAGACCCCTGACTGATAAAAATGACCAGGATTCTGATAATTTCAAGATTATTGTGATAATTAGCATTGTCCATAGTATGGTGGGAACAGTAATGCTGAGGGAGTGAGGGAGGGAGGTAGCTTCATCTGCTGATTGTGTGTGGCCATCTGTTATGGTGAACACCTGTTTGCTATGGTAAACATAAATGTAGATACTTATATATAACATGAGTATATAGTGTAATAAGAGCACAAATAATATGATGGAAGGAGGAATTTTAGTGAGGGAGGGGGAGGCAGCGTCGGCTGACTTTGTGTGACATCCTCTGTTGCTGTCTGAACTCACCATACCAGCTTCGCTGTATAGTTATGGTGAACAAAACATGTAGATACTTAACCCTTCAACTGTGCCGCCTCCAAATATGACACTCCCCCAGTGCGCAGGAAATAAATTCTCTTGAAAAAATTCTTTTGTTTTTTAACACTTTGGCGTGCCCCGCCTGCCACCCCTCAACTGTGCGATTTGGGTCCCAGAGTTTCACGGGAGCGCGCGTAAATTCCGAAAAGTGTATACTCTTTTCAACTTTGTCACCTTAATTCTCATCCTATGAGATTAAATTTGGTATCATTGTGTTCGCAATGATACAGCACTGCAGTGCTCTACAGCACTGAATGCATATAAACTCCAAAAGCCCGGCTAATTACCCGCAGCAAACAGAGAAAGTGCGAATGAGTTAGCCAGGAGCGCGCAAAAGCGATAAAATGTGTTCACTCTTTTCACTCTGGTCACCTCAATTTTCGTCCTAGGTCTTTCATTTTGGTATCAATAGGTTTGCAATAGAATTCTCTAGAGGAACATTAGCATATAAAATAAAAAACCTGGTCACGCTCCACCCGCCGACGAGTAGAAGATGGGCCACGCGTTAACCACGAGTGAGTGCCCAGACGCCTTCCAGCTACACTCCCACTTCCTGCCTACAAATGTTTAGTATTTAGTATTTTAGTATATGTAGTATTATAGTTTAGTATTTTTTGTGTAGTAGTTGTACATCACATAAGCATTGTAGATAGCCATTTGCACAAAATAGATGGTCATTTTCTTCGTCCATTTGTGAGTTTTCCTTATGAAGTGATAATATTTGATCATTTGGTCAAAGTGATCAACACCTTTCATGTTTGTATTGTAGTCACAGATTGCATTCGGCTCGTTGACAGTTACCAAACAGTCCCCAAAAAATCGGATAAAAACCTGATTTTTGGCAATTATTTTAGAGGATGACGCAATGCTGCGTCATCCCCGAGATTACCGACAGTAAACGGATGACCCAATGCTGCGTCATGCCCAGACTAAAGTGTTAGTGTCAAAAACCCTTCCCTCAGTATGGGTATGTCAAAAAAAATCAAAATTGTACTTACTTTGGCTGCTATGGGGTCCGTAAGTTGGCGCATGACGTCATCATTCCCCGTTCGCCTGTGACGTACGCTCCTGGGGCCAGTAGGGCGCCCAGGGTGGGGCGCGTGAGTTGCCGCTATTATATTTTTGTTAATTTTTTGCGCACAGTTCCAAATACATTTTATTTATTTTTACGTGCTAATCCTATGCATAATGAACACGTACACTATATTATGGCAGTAAAACATCCGTACTGTCCAAGGACACTGTGTTACGTGCATGACACTTGTGTACACATATGTTGCACATATTTACTATGTATCATGCTAATTTATGTATATATACAATCTATTTACAGACTATACACTGTCACACACTATATACATTCACCATCAACTCATTCAGAACACTGCGAGTGTGAGCTGCCACACTCAGCCAGCCCTCCCTCACTCCTCCAACATTGTACTCGCCAACATTGCTCCTTCCATCATACAGTTATTCACACCAATGTTTCATGTTCATATATGTATATTTACAACATATGTACAGCCTATACACTGTCACACACTATATACATTTACCATCAACACATTCAACACTTCTATCCCAAGTTCTTTCCCAAGAGGCAGACAAGAGGAGCTCCAGCATATTTCAATAATCCTAAGTATTGTAGTACAGGATGATGATAGTGAGTGGTGTCCCAGAGAACATAAAGGTATAGTGCTTTTGAAAAATAGGTGAGATAACAGGAATGTGCCAAGGGAAGTGAAATAGTGGATGAGAAAAAGTTACCCCTAGTGTTTCCAGTGCAGACAGCAACATTCAAGATGGTCGCCTGCAAGAGGAAATACAAAACAGATCTTGATTTTGCTGGATTCAGTGAAGAAAGCATTGATATAACCAGTCTATACAACAAGGTGGTAAAATTAGATACTATTGTGACCTCTCATGTAGAAATAATTAGTAAATTGAAAGAAAGTAATGACCATTTAAATAGAAAAGTTGTATGTCTTGAGGGTGTAGTGAAAGACTTGCGCAAGGATAAGATTCAATTGGAAACAAATTGCAAAGCCATGGAAGAAGAAAATAGACTCTTAAAAATAGCTTTGGAAGAAGTTAAAGTAAATTTAAACATAAATGACTACAATAGGTTAGGTAAGGAATTTCAACAGGAGAAACAGCTTTTGTCAGCACAGATGGAGGAAGTTACACAGGGAATAGAACAGTGCAAGAAAGATATGCAACTCACTTATGCACAAGTGGCCAAGGAGAAGGAAAAAATAGAAGAAGCAGTAAAGGAAGTAAAACACTGCAGCAACCAAGATAAAACAAACATTAGGCTAGAAGTGAGGAAAGAATTGGCATCTAACCCGAAGTTGGTGCAAAACACAGTTGATCGGAGTAAGTCCCTGATCATTTTTGGCTGCAAAGAAAAGGAGATAACATCTAGGTCAGAAAGAGCTGTAGAAGAAGCAAAAGTAGTAGATAAAATTGTTGGCCTCGTGGAAGGTCTTACAACCATAGAGAATGTGTGCGACTACAGGAGAATAGGCAGATATGTAAAAGGGAAAGATCGACCTTTGAGGATCACCCTAAATGGTGCCAAACAGATGGAAGAAGTACTAAGGAATGCTAGAAAATTACAAAGTGATGAGGATGGGAAAGTGTGGTCGTTAAGACAAGATCTTTCAAAAGAAGATAGAGAGAAGCTGAAACTGAACCTCGCCGAGGCAAAACGTTTAAATGAGAGCAGGAATGAAGAAGAAATCAATTCTTTTTTCTACAAAGTGATAGGGGTAGGCAGGCCAGTAAAGTGGTACATAAAGGCAAACCAACAAAATCATTAGAGAAAGGGGGAGTGAAATATAAGAAGAGGGGTGAACAAGTTCCTCAAGATTGCATACACCAATATAGATGGAGTAAGATCAAAGATACTGGAGTTAAGTGATATAATACAGCTGCAGACACCAGACATTGTTGCACTCACGGAGACAAAACTTGAAGATGCTATTTTAAATGAGGTCATATTCCCAAGGGGCTACTCAATTTGGAGACGGGACAGAAAAATCAGGAAAGGCGGTGGCGTTGCTGTGCTGGTGAAAGAACACCTAAAGGTGAACGAAATAGTGACTGCCAATCCACAAGAAGTTGACATAATAGCACTAGAGATCTGCCATGAGGATGATAAACTAATGATCATAAATGTATATAGTCCACCGCTAAGCAGCACATGGTCAAAGGAGGAGCTAGATAGTAAACGAGAAGGTTTTATAACAATAATGAGAGAGATCATAGCGAGAGCGGATAACGATAGTTCACGACTGTTGATAGTCGGCGACTTCAACTTGAAATCCATAGACTGGGAAGCATGTGAAGCTAAAACAGAAGATTTCTGGACCTGTAAATTTGTAGACCTTATCCTGGAAACATTCTTGTATCAACATGTTAAACAAGCTACGAGGATGAGGGAAGGGGACGTTCCCTCCATGCTAGATTTGATATTTACCAGGAAGGAGGAAGAAATATTTGACATTCAGTACCTTCCTCCCTTGGGTAAAAGTGACCATGTCTTTTAGGGAATAAAGTATGCAATGCGTTATAATCTGGAAAAAATATGACGGTCGATGCAAATGACAAATCTGACTTTAGGAGAGGACATTATGGCAACCTTAGAAAAAATTTTAGTGAGTATAATTGGACAGACTTGTTGCTAGGCAAGGAAGTGAATGAGATGTATGTCATCGACTTGAGAATGGTCCAGGACGGACTGAAACGTTGTCGTCCCTTCAACTTCTAGTGTGTGGTCTGGTCAACATACTTCAGCCACGTTATTGTGACTCATCGCCTGCAGATGTATGTCAGGTTTTGTGAAATATATGATAAAGGCACAAAAAAATTTATACCAAAACAGAGAAGCAGAACTAGGAAACAGGATTGGTTCAACAGAAAGTGCGAGAGGGCCAGAGACCAAAAGACACAAAAATGGAATAAATACAGGAAGAGGCTGAACCCCCAAACACACCAGCGATACAAAGATGCGAGAAACAACTACACGGCAGTGAGGAGAGAGGCAGAAAGAAATTTTGAAAAAGGGATTGCAGACAAATGTAAAACAGAACCAGGTCTATTCTATAAATTCATAAACAACAAATTGCAGGTAAAGGATAATATTCAAAGGTTGAAAATGGGAAATAGATTCACAGAAAATGAAAAGGAAATGTGTGAAACATTAAACGAAAAGTTCCAAAGTGTGTTTGTACAAAATGAAATCTTCAGGGAACCAGATACAATAAGAATTCCAGAGAACAACATGGAGCACATAGAGGTGTCTAGAGACGAAGTGGAAAAAATGCTCAAGGAGCTAAATAAGAACAAAGCAGTTGGGCCAGATGGAGTTTCACCATGGGTTCTGAGAGAATGTGCACCTGAGCTCAGCATTCCTCTTCAACTGATTTTTCAGGCATCCCTGTTTACAGGAGTTGTAGCTGATGTGTGGAAAAAGGCTAACATAGTTCCAATCTACAAAAGTAGAAGCAGGGAAGACCCCCTTAATTATAGACCGGTATCATTGACAAGTGTAATAGTCAAAATATTGGAAAAAATAATTAAATCTAAATGGGTAGAACACCTGGAGAGAAATGATATAATATCAGACAGACAGTATGGTTTTCGATCTGGAAGATCCTGTGTATCGAATTTACTCCGTTTCTATGATCGAGCAACAGAGATATTACAGGAAAGAGATGGTTGGGTTGACTGCATCTATCTGGACCTAAAAAAGGCTTTCGACAGAGTTCCACATAAGAGGTTGTTCTGGAAACTGGAAAATATTGGAAGAGTGACAGGTACGCTTCTAACATGGATGAAAAACTTTCTGACTGATAGAAAAATGAGGGCTGTGATCAGAGGCAATGTATCGGACTGGAGAAATGTCACAAGTGGAGTACCACAGGGTTCAGTTCTTGCACTAGTGATGTTTATTGTCTACATAAATGATCTGCCAGTTGGTATACAGAATTATATGAACATGTTTGCTGATGATGCTAAGATAATAGGAAGGATAAGAAACTTAGATGATTGTCATGCCCTTCAAGAAGACCTGGACAAAATAAGTACATGGAACGCCACTTGGCAAATGGAGTTTAATGTTAATATATGCCATGTTATGGAATGTGGAATAGGAGAACATAGACCCCCACACAACCTATATAGAAATGATTCATCTATGTATCATCTAAATAAATTGGAGATGGCATAGGATTGCAAGGGTGACGCTCAGAGCTACAACTGGATACGCTCGCTGCATCGTCCTCATAGGTGCTGTATCACTTGCATCCGACCTTTGTGTCAGGTCCTTATTGCGCCTAGCTTCACCAATATTATGACCCTTATGTTCTTCAAACAATATGGTTTGAATTTCAGCGACAGAGCATTATCTTTCAAACACCTGTCCGACGCGGTTACCTTACCTCAAGGTAAGGTAACCGCGTCGGACAGGTGTTTGGGAGCCAGAGGCGCGTGCGCCACCCATGGTTGCTCATTCAGTACTAACTCAGCCAGCAGCCCTAGGGCATTCTGGGATTTTTTTCCAAGATGGCTGCCTCTCACTGGAGGTCCTAAGAGTCCATTTCGTACACAAGCAACCTCGTACACATTTAGAATTGGTACCGAAAAATCAAAAAAGAGTTTTCTCGTTTGGCGCAGTTTCCCGCCGACCGAGAATACTCGGTTGGCACAGTTAAGTGGTTAAGGGTTAATTTATTTGGAAGTAGATCACATTTTGGCAAAAATCAGTTCATGACATTGGTCGCTTGCAACCAACTGTGCCCAATGGGTTCTTGGGATTCTGCAGAGCCGAAGTTGAGAAATGTGGGGTTAGATGTTGCATGTAGTGGGTGGCTGGTTGGCTCATCCATGTTGGGCTAGATGTTGTATGTAGTGGGTGTCTAGTTGGTCCATTCATGTTGGGCTAGATGTGTGTAGTGGGACTGTGCAGTTGATCCATCCATATTCTCTTTACATTGTTACACGATTTTTATTTATATTTGTTCATTTAGTTGGTTCTACAGTCAATATGAAACAAATTAAAAAGAAAACTGAATGTAATTAAACATATTTTTCAGAGCGGCACAGAAACATTATTCTGGCGTGCTCTGCTGCAGCTGCTGTTGAGGGATAAACTTGGTGATGTCTCAGATGTGGCACATGTTGGGCGTCTTGCATCAAAATGCCACAATTTTTCAGAATATGCAAGACTAGCAATTTCCAAGCTGGGAGTTTCCTTAGAGGTGAGATATTATTTTACTTTGCTTAGTTTTAATAAATTGTAATTACCAAAGTGTAGTTACAGGATGAGAGCTACATTCTCAAATGTTAACAAAACACAAGAAATAATACATAAACAGAATAGCAAATTAGATTTATGCACAGATTTTTTATCATTTTAATTATGAATAAATAAATGGAAGGAAAACTCATAATAAACATATATGACTAACAAATTAACTGCACTGCTCTAACATCTCAGAACATTATACAGTATATGCAGGTGTATAAGTGAACATTTGAAGAAGAAAAAATCTCCCCAAAACCAGGGGTTGACTTGTCTACTGAATAAAAAATGTGAACCTTTACCACTGAGAGATAAACAAGTGAAGCAGCTGGCCTAACACTTATTGTACACCACTATCGCAGCCCAGGGAACACGAGAGAAGGAGGCAGGCAAGAAGGGAGCGATGGAGGAAAGTAGGCAAGCAGGGAGGGAGGGATGGATGGAGGAAAGCAGGCAGGCAGGGAGGGAGGGAGGAAGGGTAGTACAGGGAAAAGGAGGGAGGGAGGGAAGCAGGCAGGAAGGGAGAGAAAAAGGGATGTACAGAGAAAAGGAGGGAGGGAGGGAACCAGGCAGGCAAGGGAGGGAGGGAGGGAGGGAACCAGGCAGGCAAGGGAGGGAGGGAGGGAGGGAACCAGGCAGGCAAGGGAGGGAGGGACGGAGGGAACCAGGCAGGCAAGGGAGGGAGGGAGGGAGGTAGACAGAGGGAGGGAAGAGGGAGCCAGGCAGGCAGTCAGGTAGACAGGGAGGGAAGCAAGCAGGGGGGGGGAAGGGAAAAAGGGAGTCAGGGTTCAGGCATGAAGGAAGGCAGGGCGGGACAGGGCAGGTGCCTTTTGCCCCCAGACTCCTCAACAACACCCAGGGTTGGTAGGTAAGTACTATAGCAGTCAGCTGATGGTTGCTTCGTCATGCCAGGAGTGCTAACCCATATGTAATCAAAATGGAAATGTATTTCAGCTATTTTAAATATACCACAATCTTTAGCATTATGATTGCTCCAGTACAGTGTGTCCTCACTTGAACGAACTATATGGGGCGAAGCCGATTCGTTCCAGTGCGGAATTCGTTCCATCCGTCCGGCCCCAACAACCTTCTTATTTTTTTTTTTTTAAACATATGCCAGGACACATTAGTTTGTTTCTTTGTTGTGTGGTGCTTCATTATAATATCTTTCATGCTCTTTTGGTGTCAATAATAATCTGAGATGCGAGAATCACCATCCCCCACCCCACTCACACCATCTTCCACACCACCCACACCATCCTCCACACCACCCACACCATCCTCCACACCACCCACACCATCCTCCACACCACCCACACCATCCTCCACACCACCCACACCATCCTCCACACCACCCACACCATCCTCCACACCACCCACACCATCCCCCACACCACCCACACCATCCTCCACACCATCCTCCACACCACCCACACCATCCCCCACACCACCCATACCATCCCCCACACCACCCACACCACCCCACACCATCCTCCACACCACCCACACCATCCCCTACACCACCCACACCATCCCCCACACCACCCACACCATCCCCCACACCACCCCACACCACCCATACCATCCCCCACACCACCCACACCATCCCCCACACCACCCACACCATCCCCCACACCACCCACACCATCCCCCACACCACCCACACCACCACCCACACCACCCACACCATCCACACCACCCACATCCACCACACCACCATCCCACCACCCACACACCATCCCCACCACCCACACCATCCTCCACACCCCCCACACCATCCCCCACACCACCCCACACCATCCCCCACACCACCCACACCATCCCCCACACCATCCCCCACACCACCCACACCATCCCCCACACCACCCACACCATCCCCCACACCACCCCCCACACCACCCACACCATCCACACCACCCCCCACACCACCCTCCACACCACCCACACCATCCCCCACACCACCCACACCATCCCCCCCACACCACCCACACCATCCCCCACACCACTAACACCATTCGCCCCCACCACCCACACTCCCCACACCACCACCCACACACCCCACACCACCACCCACACCATCCCCCACACACCCCACACCACCCCCACACATCCCCCACACCACCACCCACACCACCACCCCCACCACCCACACCACCCACATCATCCCCCACACCATCCACACCTTCCACCCACACCATCCCCCACCACCCCCCACACCATCCCCCACACCCCTAACACCATCCCCAACACCACCCACACCATTCGCCCCCCACCACCCACACTCCCCACACCACCACCCACACACCCCACACCACCACCCACATCATCCCCCACACACCCCACACCACCCTCATCATCCCCCCACACCCAACCACACCACCCACACCAACCCACCCACACCCAAACCACACCACACCACCCAAACCATACCACACCACCCACCCACCGTGTATTGAAGCAGCAGGCTTGGAAGCGTCTCAACTCGCCCGACAAAAAAAAATGATGGGTTGACAGGTCTCCTCTCACACCTCCAGGACCCCCCCCCCCCCCACCCCCCAGGTACCCGGCCATACACACCACAATGCCAAGTCAGCTATTGTTTTCTTCAGGAAACAATAAAACGTGTTAATGATTAATAATGTATATTAATACACGAAAATTAACATATTTTGGCATAAATATTTTACAGCTAAGATTGAGATTTATAATAGAGTATGAATGAGAGGTTTGGCAGCCATGCGTGGTCACCACCCTTCTCTCTCCACTTCCACCTCCCCTGACAACACCTTCCACCACTGACCCCACCTGCCTCTTTCCACCACCTGCCTCCCCTGACACCGCCTGCCTCCCCTGACCCCACCTGCCTACCCTGACCCCACCTGCCTCCCCTGACCCCACCTGCCTCCCCTGACCCCACCTGCCTCCCCTGACCCCACCTGCCTACCCTGACCCCACCTGCCTACCCTGACCCCACCTGCCTACCCTGACCCCACCTGCCTCCCCTGACCCCACCTGCCTCCCCTGACCCCACCTGCCTCCCCTGACCCCACCTGCCTCCCCTGACCCCACCTGCCTCCCCTGACCCCACCTGCCTCCCCTGACACCACCTGCCTCCCCTGACCCCGCCTGCCTCCCCTGACACCACCTGCCTCCCCTGACCCACCTGCCTCCCCTGACCCCGCCTGCCTCCCCTGACACCACCTGCCTCCCCTGACACCACCTGCCTCCCCTGACCCCACCTGCCTCCCCTGACCCCACCTGCCTCCCCTGACCCACCTGCCTCCCCTGACCCCGCCTGCCTCCCCTGACCCCACCTGCCTCCCCTGACACCACCTGCCTCCCCTGACCCCGCCTGCCTCCCCTGACACCGCCTGCCTCCCCTGACACCGCCTGCCTCCCCTGACACCACCTGCCTCCCCTGACACCACCTGCCTCCCCTGACACCGCCTGCCTCCCCTGACACCGCCTGCCTCTTTCCACCACCTGCCTCCCCTGACACCGCCTGCCTCCCCTGACACCACCTGCCTCCCCTGACACCGCCTGCCTCCACCACCTGCCTCCCCTGACCCCGCCTGCCTCCCCTGACCCCGCCTGCCTCCCCTGACCCCGCCTGCCTCCCCTGACCCCGCCTGCCTCCCCTGACCCCACCTGCCTCCCCTGACACCGCCTGCCTCCCCTGACCCCGCCTGCCTCCCCTGACCCCGCCTGCCTCCCCTGACACCCCTCCCCTGACACCGCCTGCCTCCCCTGACCTGCCTCCCCTGACACCGCCTGCCTCCCCTGACACCACCTGCCTCCCCTGACACCACCTGCCTCTTTCCACCACCTGCCTCCCCTGACCCCGCCTGCCTCCCCTGACACCGCCTGCCTCCCCTGACACCGCCTGCCTCCCCTGACACCGCCTGCCTCCCCTGACACCGCCTGCCTCCCCTGACACCACCTGCCTCCCCTGACACCACCTGCCTCCCCTGACACCGCCTGCCTCCCCTGACACCGCCTGCCTCCCCTGACACCGCCTGCCTCCCCTGACACCACCTGCCTCCCCTGACACCGCCTGCCTCCCCTGACACCACCACAAATGATGCCAGCCACCTCACCAAGGCCTAACGTTCACACGACCTGTGCTTGTTTTATTGGCCTCCTCAAAATTTATTCTAAATAGATATTAGTACAGTACGTAGGCTGTTAGAGGAGGGAGGGAGGGATCCAGGAAACAACCCCCCCCCCCCCCCCCCTCCCACCCCTCACCCCCCCCAATGGCTCAGGGAGCGACCGGCCGGCCACACAATGCCGGCTGTTATCTACACCCCAATTGTATTAAAAATTCTGTGAAAAGGAAATGTGTTCAAACTGTTTAAAATATGTACTGTATATATTACAATTTTCACCATTATTATTGCTCCAATATGACATTTTTCTAATAAAAAGGCTATTTTCAGTGTAGATAATGCGATAATTATCATTAAATTGACTCTTGGCATCTGACGACGAGAGGAGAGTGAGTGTAGTCTCTGTGGTCAGGTGGAGGAAGGAGGGTGGGGGCGGGGGAGCACGTGTTGCCTCCTGACAACAACTCTCTCACCAATGCCTCCCTGACACCATTTTATCACCATTTTTATCACCATTTCTCCCTAGAAACAATGGGTAGGGATAATAAAACACTACATAACTGTTTACACTCTGGCGAATCATAGTTGATGACAGCCAGCTCTGACGCTCGGCCTCGGTGACCGCTTGGACGAACATTCCTCACTTAATCGAACATTTGTATGTTCCACTGAACATTTGGTACCGAATTCAATTTGTTCGGCTCTTCCGGGAATTCGATAGAGCGGGGTTCGTTAGTCTGAGGAAGCACTGTATATCTTGCTAATAAAACAGGCAAGTAAGTAATTATCAAAGAAGGCACCAAGCCAGGAAGGCTATGTAACACCATCAAATGTACGGAATAATCAG